ACTATTGGTTTTATACATTGTGAATCATACCAAATTCGACCTTTATCTTAACCAACATCATATTATTTCTTTTTTTAAATATATTGGATTAAGAAATTATAATAGGAAAAATTAAAAATATATATTTGGAGTGAAAAATGTAGCCAATGATGAGGTGGTGTTCAAAGAGATGAGGTTGTGGGTGGCTGCTTTTGTTGACTGCAACAAATCTTAATTGTGATTGGTTGTACAAGTGGGGTCCACTTTGAGGACTCTGTATACCACATAGGCATCATACCATGAGTCTTCTCTTCTCCTTCTCTTATCTCCTATTGGTGGAGATTGGAGAGGATAAGATGCATAATTTCATTTTCTTTTTTTTTTTTTCCACCCATAAATTCAACACCTAATTCATGCTTTATCCAAGATAATTTTGTTTTTACTTAAACAATGGATCAAATTATAATCACATAACAATTCTTCTGAATTATCTTTCTAAAGTGCTTCTTACGTTTATTTTTGAAATAGATTTTTTTTTTTTTTTGGAGGAAAAAAAAAATCAAGCAAGAGTCAACCAAATAAAAAGTAAACAATTTAAATTGAGATTATTAGGTATTCTATGTACGTCAAAAAAATAGAGAAGAAAATTCTAGTATGTCCCAAATTCTACGTAAGCGTCCAAATCTTATTATTATTTTTCATTCAAATTTATATACAAAGTTGAAAATTTAAAATGTGCAACCCATTTCCTACGAGTAAATTACTAATTTGTCCTTGTCCTTGATATATATATATATATATGAAATAATTTATGAATATTTGGATTTGATTTAGTCAAAGAATGGGGTCGGATGGAGATTGAATGCTTGCATGTGATTTGTTTGGGAATGTACTTTGTGACTATAAAACACAACAATAATGTAGAGAAATGCATGTACTACAAACAATTATTTAATACCATCTATAAAAAAGAATTGTTTGTTTAGAAAATTATAAATAAATAAATAAATAATATTCCCCGTTTGTAATTCCCACGGTTAGTGTTCCCCACAAATAAGGAAAAAAAGTATTTATTTGATGAAAAATACAAAATAAAAATGAATAAATGGTTTGTTTTACAGAAAATGAAAAATTGTGGTATAAAAAGTAATAAACTCTGTCTGGGTTCTGGATTCGTAGAACCCACATTTTATTTAATACTTTCCTGTCATAAAATTAGATGTAAAAGAAAGCATAATATTAAACTCTTTTTTTAATCAAACTTAAATCATATTGGGTTTTTTTTACGGGCCGGCCCATTCAACCACTTAATTTAAAAGATGAACCAGAAAGATAGTTTGTTCTAAATAGCCCAAATGAAGCGCAGCCTGGAGGATGATGGTAATTATTAATATATATTTGTAATGAGAGGCAGGATTTGTGGGAATTCACAACTTGGGTATTCTTGCCAACACATTAATTAGGTGCTATAAATAGGAAGGGAAGAAAGAAATACCATAAATAAAACATTAGGAGGAATGATAAAATATTTTGTACGCTACATTAATACGGCACACGTCAAAATTAAATTCCAACAAATCAAGATCCCAGCATTTCATACCCCACCACCCATGTCCGACGGTGACGATTATCACAGCGCTCTATCCAACGGTCTCGATATAGTGTCGTTGCATTAACAGCACCGATAATTTGGTCTTTTTGTCACGGGATTTCAATTAAATCAATGTTTAGTATAAGCAAATTTCCTTCCCATCAGAGCCGTTTATTTCGAATCCGACCAATCGTACGGCTCTTGATGAAAGCTCTTTTAGGCACGTCCACACAATTTCGAAACCCCGACCATAGTCACGGCGATGAATGAAATGAGGTCATTTCAATTTCCAGCCTGGCTTCATTTGTCCTTTTAATATTCCAGCCCCACCAAAAAGTAATTCATTCTGAATTCCCGATTTTACCCTTCTCTTCTTCTCAAATGCTTCGTCTTCCTTTTCCTCATCTCTCAAAAAAGGAAAGGAAAACCCTAATGGCCTTTCTGGTTCTACTCTTCTTCATCGCCGTAACCGTATGGTTTCCGTCGACGGTCGTCGCCGGTGACCTTCCGGTGTTCAGAGAAGCGCCGGCATTCCGAAACGGTCGAGAATGTCTCCGTACGACGAAGCCATCCGTCATCCACATCGCCATGACTTTAGACGGTACGTACCTTCGGGGATCGGTGGCCGGAGTGTTTTCAGTACTTCAGCACTCATCCTGCCCGGAAAACATAGTGTTCCATTTCATCGTCACTCACCGGCAGTTAGAGCTTCGGCGTATTATCACCAACACATTCCCCTACCTGAACTTCCATCTCTACCATTTCGATTCAAATCTGGTAAGAGGAAAAATCACCTACTCCATTCGACGAGCTTTAGATCAGCCGCTGAATTACGCGAGAATGTACCTAGCGGATCTATTACCAGCCAGCGTCGGAAGAATCATCTACTTCGATTCAGATCTGGTGGTGGTGGACGATGTAGCGAAGCTTTGGAAAATCAATTTGGGGAATCACGTGCTGGGAGCGCCGGAGTATTGCCATGCAAATTTCACGAATTACTTCACCGCGAAGTTCTGGTTGAATTCGGAACACGCGGCGGCGTTCAAGGGGCGGAAAGCGTGCTATTTCAACACAGGGGTGATGGTTATCGATTTGGAGAAATGGAGGGAAGGGAAGTACACGGAAAGGTTGGAGAAATGGATGAGGATTCAGAAGAGGAACAGAATTTATGAGTTGGGATCGCTACCTCCATTTTTACTGGTTTTTGCTGGGGATGTCGAAGGAGTAGCGCACCGGTGGAACCAACATGGGCTGGGTGGGGATAATCTGAAAGGGGTTTGTAGAAATCTTCATCCTGGCCCGGCCAGTCTACTCCATTGGAGTGGAAAGGGGAAGCCATGGCTCAGATTGGATGCCAAGAAGCCATGCCCACTCGACAGCCTATGGGCTCCTTACGATCTTTCTCGTCATTCCTCTCTGTTTTCTGATAATGGAAGTCGCCGGAGGAAGCACTGGCGCCGGTGACGGCTCATTAAGCTGAGCTCATGGTTCAACCGTAGGGCGTGTCGGGCTGTTGGGTTGGTTGTATTTTGGGCTGGGCTACAGCCTGCAACATTGTAAAAACGGATTCCTTTTTTCTTTTATTTTTAGACAAAATGATTTTTTAGGTTCAAATGATCTTTGTGATGTGATGGAGATTGAATCAGTGACTGCAATCATATGCTTTCTTTTAACCCAACTCATGAAATTAGTGAGTGAATGAGTGATGTTGTAAAGCTTTTATTAAAATTAATGGATTAATTCACTAAAGTTGAATACCTTAATCATCAAACTATACCCATATGTACATTTGCAAAAACAGATTAGTTGCACTGTATAATTTGGGAGCCCATTGGTTCGGCCCAAAGGTAAAGCAGCCCAATTTGATGCATTAAAAAGGCCCAAAAAAATAGAAACATGGGCACACTATTCCACCGACTTTGTTTCCATATTTGCGTTGAGACGTCTCTGTTTTTTTTTTTTTTTTTTTCTTTTCTTTTGAAGATAAAATTTAAATATATGAGTTTGTTGTATTTAAGGTGCCTAATCTAGTAAACGAGAACATTAAATTAGAAGACATAAAATGTGTGGTAAGTATTTATTGTAAAATAAAATAAAATTTAGGGAAGATTGAAAGAAAAGAGGGGATGGGACCCCATATTCTTAAATGCAGTAATGTGGGGTTTGAATATTTAAAAAGGAAAAGAAAAAAAAAAAAAAGGAGGATCCACGTGGGGGAGTTTTGGTATGTAGCGATTGATGGGACGAAGGAAAACGTAAAGGGCAAAGCAAATGAGAAGGGGAAGAAGTTCACGTGCAACTCTGACCCTAAATAGCAACATTCCTAAAATTACCCTAAACTCTTCTTAAACCCTAAACCACCATTCTGATATGTTAGGGTTTTGTTTCTGGAGATGGGCAGAGAGAGTGGCTAATGAGGGATATGATCCCAAATGAGGCGCCCTGCTTTCTCTCGCCTTTTCCTTCCAAATTTCAGTTGCAGATCCGTTTGGGGAGGACGACCTTTTTGAAAATGGTGCGTGTGGGATTTCACTTCAAACTCCCCCAAAAGCCAATCAAATAGAATACCCATTTCCAACTATGGGCTCCAATATCGATATCAATTATTCAAATATATGAAACCCCCAACTCCAAAGTCTCAACATTTACACGTTACCCTTACATTACATATACTGAACCCATATATTTTAATAATTCATACCAAAAATATGATGTTAAGACGGGATGAGGGTGGATCGTAGATGATTGAATTGAGGTGATAGAGATGAGACAAAATCGAAAAAAGAATGCAACCTTGGTGGCGTTGTTGGTTGAATGGGCGACCCACTGTGCTGGTGGCTGGTAGACCTCCCCCATGCTCTTAAATATTCTTTGTCCTCTAATTTCCTTACCATAAAAACTCCCTTTTCTTTTCTTTTCTTTTCTTTTCTCTTCTCATTTAGATACAACGTATGTATAATTTATATCCAATTATATGCATCTTTTTCTTGCATTATCGTGTATTGTTTTTGTTTCTCTCAAATGGTTCATTGTCTTTGTGCTTCACTTTCCAAAATTAATATTTTATGACTTGTTTCATCACTTCTTCTTCAAATTCTTCTTCCCACCCAATAATTTCTCATCAAAACTGTTTATTCTAAGTATATAATATCATCTCATTGTCATACAACTGTAGCATTAATGAATATGATTTTGTATGAATTTTAATTTGATGAAACTATAGCTCAAACTTTGAAAAATGTTTGCAGTATTTTGATGATATGTATATGAATAATGTGAATGATAGTTAAAGGTGGGTCCGAGGTGAGAGCATTGGTCTGGTGGGTATGGGGGACACATGAGACTCTATCACCCTCCACGCGATGCATTAATAATTATTATAATAAAATGAATAAAAATGGAAAAAGCCAACTAAGTCCTGACTCACGCCCACTCCCTGTTTCTATATAAGAATCCTCCATTTCTGTTTCCCCTTCTCAAATCCAACCAAACAAACAAATCTTCTTCAACAACAAGATGAAGATGAACAGCGGCGGCAGCATTGGAGGTTCCAAAAGGAGGCTTTCCAGCAGCAGAGGGCTGGGCGGAGCTGTAAGAGAGCAAAGGGCAAGGCTTTACATTATAAGGCGTTGCGTTATCATGCTTCTTTGTTGGCATGACTGATTCTTATCATTTTTTTTTTTTTTGTACATCCTACCCCTTTCATACAATTCATTTTCTTCTCCATTTGGGACACAATTTTGTATTGCCTAATAACATTGTAAATGTTGGTATCAATTATTACTATTATTCAACCTCTCTATTATTCCTTTGAGTTTGGTACCAATTGCATGCGAAGTTGATACTCGTCTGGGGCTCTGGGTATTCAATTCAAAATTCAACAATGAAATTGGAAATAACGTGGTGGGATTCTCCACAAACCCCCCCCACCCACCTGCTCCCTGCTCTTCTTTTTTTGTTTCGTTTTTTAAATTCACTTTTACCCTCTCAAAATTAAACCTTCACCACTTGGATTTCTCCCTCCCCCCCCTCTTTATCGCTTTTTCTCTGCCCTTTACTTTTGTATTCCTATTTCCCATTCAAATCTTACATCATCTTCATTGGATGCTAGCTGGTTAAAGCTTCCATAAAGAAAACATATATTTGGTTACTTTTTGAAGAATCTAAGTTCAGGTTTATTTCTCGTTGATATTATAGGGGTTAGAGGGTTAATATCCAAACCAAACCTCATGGGGGGTTTTCTATTAATTAATAAATTCAAAAATAATTTCATTGATTATTGATATAATTAAATCAAATGTTGAAACCCCTATTGTTTAAAGTTTATAAGATTTTGTTTGGTTGATACCCTATTAAGCTAGAAGGATTCTAAAAGCTGCATACTTTTGGGATATTGGAATCAAATAAAGTTATACACTTTAACCATGATTCAATCAAACTGATTCTTTATAATCTTTGACAACATCTTCAACACTGCCATACATCATAAACAAAAACTATTACACCATCTTAATTGAGATTAGTAAAAAAAAGAAAGTGATAATTTAAGGTAGGCCCATTAATGATATGAGAATTTAAAGTTCGAGATAAGATATTCATACGAGTTGGAGTTGGAGTTGGATTTGGACTACTTTCGTCCAAATTAACATCTCCATTCCTTTTTGGTCCTTTTGGACAGCACACCAAAATAATTCAACTATTCATTCACTTTGTCATCTTCTTCTATAACTTTTCAAAAAATAATTACATGACAATAATTAATTAGCTGTCAAAGATTTGAAAAAAATAATCTCCCACTCGTTAAGAAAATAGAAGATAAAATCACGATAATTTATGTTTAAAGTACAACAAACATCGTGATAGTAAATATTTTAGTATTGGTGTGGTGTGGGGTCTCCATTTGAGAGTCGTTGGCGGTCAAAAAGGGGTTTCAATTATTGCCCTTTTCTTTGCATAAGCCAGTTGTCTCTTGTGCAACCACCGACCAATCTCTTTCTAATATTTTCTCGTATTATTTGCCTTTCATTTTCCCCAATCCTTTTGGATTAACTAATAATATTACCATTACAACATTTATAGCCTACCTAACTATATTCATATCATGCTCTTAAAAATCTTTTGTATTCTAAACTTGTCATGTACCTCTATCCTTCGACAACGTGAGTTTAGACCTGATCTATAGTGTATATAGCATGCCGTGGTGGATGTCAAGTGTTGTCAAATCTCACCCTAATGAGTAAGAGCTAGTTTGGCTATTCTAACCGCTAAGTGTGTGCGTTTCTTATAAAATAATGAATGCCAATCTTACATAAATTCATACTATACTTACCCTTTGGAGTATACATGGACATGTACTACACCTGAGCAAAGATTCTTTTTAGACTTCACATCATCAGCTCAATTATTAGAATGGAAGTAGATTTAATCAATTTAATTATTATTATTATTATTATTTTTTACTTTTTTTTGTTGTATTAAAAGTATTACCTTTTATTCTTTTAAATATATTATTAGAGCTAATATAGCTTACTCAAGGTAGGTGTTAATAATCATTCCATTATCCAAACTATCCATAGCATAATATATATAAATGTCCCTCCAAAACTTTGCAATATGTCCACCACAGATCTATTAATCATGGAATTCAAAGCTTAGAACCTTATCCCTTACTTGTTTTTATCACAAACAGGTGACAATAACATTCTTCTCATTTTTATTTCAGTAATATACAAAATTATTATTTTTTTTTTGGACTATTTGCCAGTTTTTTGCAGAAATATCTGTGCATTAATAAACAATACAAATCACATATATTTTATATAAAATCAGTATATCATTCATCAAATTTCAAACAAACCGACCATGTTTTAAAAATATCTTACAAACCATTCTGCATTTTTTTATTTGTTTTTAAAATAACAAAATCCCACAAAGGTTAGACATTTAGACAAACAAATTTTTTCATTTTTGACAAGAGGCAACATTATGTCGTGAATTTTAATATTCTTAAGAGACATACATTAAATATTCATTTAATTACATATTAATGATTAGAAATACCGAATTCCTGTTATTCCATTTATTTGTACTAATTAAATAAAATGAGTTTATTAGTATTGTTATTATTTTTTTCTTCCAACTTTGAGATTTCCTATTTTTAACTTTCAAATTTCCTCTTTTAATTTTTGAAATTTGGAAAATATTTTTTTGATCCTTGATTCTGTAGCTAAATAATTACGATTAGTGACACGTGGTGGAATCAAGAAGATTAGAGAAAGTGAAAAGGAAAGGTTATTGTGGTGTTGGCCACACAGGAGAGTAGCACCTCTGACAGGGAAAACGACAGAACGTTAGAACGTGGTTGGTCAAAACAGCAGGCTTATCAAGTCCACGTGTGCTTCCCAATCTGTTGGCCCATCAGAGCCGTCTGATTATTCCATCAAACGGTGGGCCTTCCCTCCCACATCCTCCATCTCTTCATCTCGTCCAATCATATGCCCCCTCGTTTACATTACACAATTCATCCAAAATCTACTTATTTCAATGACTATAAATTATTAAATACAAATCAAACTCGATGTATATTTACGTTTTTGGTTTATCATTATTTAAATACGCAATTCTTGACTAATTTAGAGAATGATCATGAGTTTATAATAAAAAAATTATATCTCTATTGGTACGAAACTTTTTGAAAAACTCAAGCAAAGTCATGAGAGCTTATGTTTAAAAAGTGAACAATATCATATTATTGTGAACGGTTGTTTTCATCTTACAAGCTTAAGGTTATGAGATCGCCTAACCTAACAAGTTTGATGATAATACTAAAAGCTCAAATCAAAAAATGGTGTAAAGATTAACTCAACTCAACTTTGAAAAAACTCTAATAATTCTACACCGCCATGGTCAAATCACACGAGAAACGTGTGGAAAGATGGAGATGATGAGAAAGAGAAAGGAGAAGGGACCAAAATGGTGGACGCAAAGGCATCCATCCAATACGCCTGTCCACAAGGCAACACGCAGTCGGGGCCGGGGGACACCCATTTTCTTTCATTTTACAGCCCATTGTGTTAGGCAGCTCATGTGATCACCAATTTTAGTACAAACACAGGCTTAAAGTTGTGAACTTGGGATCGACCCTCCTCTGTTTTTCTTTACAAATGTCTTGTTTTTTTTTTTCAATGTCCCAACAGGAGAGCTCACGTTCCATAACAAATTCAACACAAGCTTAAGGAGTTTAAGGAGTCGTTCAAATTTAATCACAAGTTTTGTTTACATTGATGGTTCCTTTTTATTTTACCAGCAAATGTGAGCCAAAACATCACCACATTCGAGTTTCTCAAAACAGATGCAGAATCCACATTATTTACTCATCCGCTTTGCCACCCCAAGCCAAGAAGCTTTCTTGCGACCCGAAATCCTGTTAGAAGAACAAAGAAAAGTCATTTTACTTTAAATTAATGAACTCAACTGGGTGTAGAATGAAGGTTTAAGACATACAAGCTGACTAAGTCTGAACTCTGGAGGTGTGTCAAGTTCGATGTTTGCAGGATCAAGGACAAGATTTTGACACTCTTCAAGATCCTTCCTTAGATCATCTGCTCCTAATTTTGCATATTCAGAAAAGCAAGACTTGCTCCCCGATGCGCCGTGGTGGTTAGCGTTCCCGTCCCTAGGGGGAGACTGGCTCTGAAAGATATCATCACACAGAGACAATGCTTCCACAAGTTGTTGGGAGTCCAATATGTTCTGTGACTCTCCTTCCCACCATTTCGGTTCTTCCTCGATTCGATTTTCGTCATCGTCAATTACTTCATCAGAGCAACCTTCTGGTTTGTTCATATCACATTTGTCTGACTTCTCAAATTCAGGTTGAACCTGGTAATAAGCAGGCTCGTTAAAACTCAAGATAATGTATACAATGTAGAGATTGGAACAAGAGGTGACCATCCTTTTTTAATATCCATATTAATCCAATTCATATGCATATCACAAAAATGAAGACTTTCATGTACCTCAGCAAGGTCCCTAGTGGAAGTGATAACAGAATCCTGTTCCGGATTGACATTCACACATCTACTTTCGACGCGAGGAGGCTCGGGAGTCGCAGACTTAGGAGTGCGGGGATCGACTTTTATGGCATCAATGATTTCAGGAACTTCCTGTTCAATAACTTCACCTTGCTTAACATTTTGTTGCTGGTAAAAGATTTTGGAAATGACATATTCTCCATCTCTCTCATCTTCCTCTGTCCCTAAGTGATATTGGTGCATAACCCAATTGGTTTTCTCAGCTCTACCTCCTTTGGCAAAGCTCATGTATAGAACCATGATCTTCTTGCACCCTTTTTGAACCCCATCAATGACCACTGGCTTTGTCCTTCCAGTCTTATGCCACCGAACGTCACCAAAATCATCGTCCGTTATCTTCCTACGCTTTCGAGTTCCAGTATTGTATGCCTTGATTGCTCTGTGAAAGAAATGGGACACACTGCCATCTTGCTTAACACCTGCATTATATTAAACAAAAAGTTAGTAGTACTATGTTGAACAATTGGTATTAATCCAGTGATGACAAACCTGGTAATTTTTGAGGATGGGTATAACATATGCCATCATCTTCAAAGACTGTTGGTATAAACTCATTGATGAACGGATGCGGCCTTGAACCACCAATGCCAACTTTGGCTAGCAGATGCCATATAATTTCTTGATCAGAAGGATCAAATTTTACACCTCTAGGCAATCCTGGCCACTCATGAGCAACCTACAAACAAAGAGATTTCAACTGCTCTAAGAACCAACAA